TAATGCGTCTAAGAATGGTGTGTTTATGTGATAGAATAATGCGTCTAAGAATGGTGTGTTTATGTGATAGAATAATGCGTCTAAGAATGGTGTGTTTATGTGATAGAATAATGCGTCTAAGAATGGTGTGTTTATGTGATAGAATAATGCGTCTAAGAATGGTGTGTTTATGTGATAGAATAATGCGTCTAAGAATGGTGTGTTTATGTGATAAAATAATGCGTCTAAGAATGCTGTGTTTATGTGATAGAATAATGCGTCTAAGAATGGTGTGTTAATGTGATAGAATAATGCATCTAAGAATGCTGTGTTTATGTGGTAGACTAATGCGTCTAAGAATGTTGTGTTTATGTGATAGACTAATGCGTCTAAGAATGGTGTGTTAATGTGATAGAATAATGCGTCTAAGAATGCTGTGTTTATGTGATAGAATAATGCGTCTAAGAATGCTGTGTTTATGTGATAGACTAATGCGTCTAAGAATGGTGTGTTAATGTGATAGAATAATGCGTCTAAGAATGCTGTGTTTATGTGATAGAATAATGCGTCTAAGAATGCTGTGTTTATGTGATAGAATAATGCGTCTAAGAATGGGGTGTTTTTGTGATAGAGTAATGCGTCTAAGAATTGTGTTTTAATGTGATAGAATAATGCGTCTAAGAATGGGGTGTTTTTGTGATAGAGTAATGCATCTAAGAATTGTGTTTTAATGTGATAGAATAATGCATCTAAGAATGGGGTGTTTTTGTGATAGAGTAATGCGTCTAAGAATTGTGTGTTTATGTGATAGAGTAATGCGTCTTAGCATTGTGTGTTTACGTGATAGAGTGCATCTAAGAATTGTGTGTTTTTGTGATAGAGTAATGCGTCTAAGAATTGTGTGTTTATGTGATAGAGTGCGTCTAAGAATGGTGTGTTTATGTGATAGAGTAATGCGTCTAAGAATTGTGTGTTTATGTGATAGAGTGCGTCTAAGAATGGTGTGTTAATGTGATAGAATAGTGTGTGGTAGAATGTTATTTATATTAGAGGGTTGTGGAACATAACGATTGTTTTTATGATGGAGTGAATTTAAAGGAAGTTGGTTTAAATGATGTGTTTTGTCTCATCGTGTGTCAGAATGTCTTGTGTGTCAGACTGTTCTGTGCAGGAATGGTACGTATGAAAGCATTGTGTGCATGACGCTGTGTATGAGATCTTTGTGAAACAGAATCAGGGGGGCGTCAAGCTAAAGCTGCAATCCTCCCCCCCCCCACGCCCGGAGCAAAACCGTTTAATAAGCACCAACATATTTTAAAAATATTACATGAAGAATATGATTTCGGCGCCCTCTGAAGACAAAGCCCTGGGTGGGTGCCTCTCTCACCATTCCCCAATTCCTCGGCTCTGTATAGACTGTTGGGGGTTTTAGACTTGCATTGGTGAACGGCTATCGTTTGGGCCGTTGTTTATTGAATGAGTGCATTGAGTTAACTACATCTATTTTTTGCTTGCAAACCAGGAAAGATGTGTATTTGACATTAAATAGTTAGTGCTAGAAGCAAAGAACTGATACACAGGCACTCAATTAAATTCCCTCAGTATGCGTACCTTTAAAATTTGGATTCTCGTTGTACATTAATGAAACATACACATAAGTAAAGATATAAAAGACCGATATTTATGGGAAAAGAATGTGTGTTAATAGATCTCAGAGATAAGAACAATTTTAGTATGGAGATAGAACGCGTGCATGATGACGATTTTATCGTGAGTACACAACACCGAAGCCGGCGCATTTCCTTTAAATAGCTCCTCAGAGACAACGGCAGAACATTTTTCTGTATGCGTCCCTGAAGTTCCTATTGAACACCACGTATATGACGAAATTTGCGGCACTGTTGACGCACAGTACGAGGATGCCGGTCCTGTGCATCATGAGACTCGTTTTGTAGGGCATGTTTTGTGAGCTGAATGCCAGGTCACAGAGGAAGTTGAATGTGCCCGTCATGGAGTAAACGACGCAGACGGACAACAGCATTTTGGTGGTCCTCTTGGGATGTTTTGGCTTCGCACTGCTCAGGTTTTCACGACGGCATTTGTGGAGAAATGCAATGCCGCCTTTCGAAGTAGAAGAAAGTGTCCTTTGATATGATAAATTATTGCTTTGGAGAGAAGAAATAGTTTTAGACGGATCGACCCGGCTCGCATTCTCTACTTTGTCATTTCTGAAGTCGAAGCCAGGTGACAAACGTGCCGTTCTTTCTGAAAATGTCACAGTTGCATGCTCCGGAAACAGAACGTGCACATCCTGTGTGATGCGGGTGTTCCCAGAGATCGACAAGGACATGGACTTTCGCTGGCGCATCTGCAGCCGAATCCTCGCAGATATCAACACGCATCCCAGCGACACGAACCCAACGCAGCACGGGCCGCAGAGAGCCGAGTAGACCTCGGACACCGCGGTGAAGAGTTGTGCATCGCCCCCGTAAGTGCGGGACTTGAGGATCAAGCCCACCGACTCGTTGCGCGCCGTGTCCAGGGTGTACACGAACACGGTCATCGGGTAGAACAAGATGTACACCGGCAAGCCGAGGGGGAATAGAGCGATGGCGGAGATTCGGACGCGACGCACGGTGAAGATGCGGGTGAATTTCAGTGGGAAATACACCGCCGTGAAGCGTTCAGCGATGATCAGTGTCGGGAGTATCATGGACACGACTTTTCCCATAGTCTCCATGAGCACAAAGACGTGGAACAGGCAGTACAGCGAGTAGGCGCACGCCTCTGAGATGAAGTACCCGAAGCGTACGTTCAGATTCAGGTAGATCTCAAGAGGGAAGTTATTGATACCCAAGAGGTAGATCGTGTCAGCAACGGCCAGGTAAAAGATGAGAATGTTGGAGCATTTCCTCAGGCCGTTCTGGTACAGGATCATCATGCTGACGGTGTTCCCCGCCAAGCCCAAAATCGAGATCAGCGGTATCAAGACATCGGAGGTGGCGAATAAGAAGATGTTCTTGAGCCGGTCGCCGTCCGGAATGGCGAAGTAGCTCATGTCTTTCCACTCTTTGGAAGTCTGATTATACATCGGGAGTTGGAAGAACATGTTTTTTTTTTTTTTTTTTTTTTTTTTGTATAGTCAGGTTAAAATTTGTATGGCGGTTAGGGGATGATAGGTATTACACTTTGAAAACTTGGGGGAAAATACATGTGTCTCTTTTAGCTTCACGGTAGTCGATGGATGTATTGCAAAAAAAAAAAAGAAACAATTAATTATATGATTTCACTAAAAATACATGTGTCTCTTTTAGCTTCACGGTAGTCGATGGATGTATTGCAAAAAAAAAAAAGAAACAATTAATTATATGATTTCACTAAGTATATAGACAATAATAAAAAAAAATATTAAAACATTGGTTGGCCTATTACAGACTATACTTCAAACCATTGTAAGACCATTATTAAAGATATGTCATCATCTCGAAAGTAAAAATGGAACATATCACCCGTGCCAATGCATCATGCATGAAGGCTACTTTTAAATCAGAATCATTTTACTAAGAGAAATTTCTTCTCGAAGGCTCAGTATACTTACAATTTGAATAAATTGGGCTTATTATATCAGTTGATTGATACACCTTTTACAAATAGCTGATCAATAATGGAAGATTTAAATATTTCAAATACATATTTTTACCCAGCGATTAGATCTCTTGTCACTCCATTAACTTTTTAATCTTTGATTATCTATAAGTTGTTATCTTAAAATGATATCTTTTTCGCGACTGCAGTATTGATTTCATGCGCTCCTAAATTATGTCCCATTTTCTATAATCTTTACAGTAATGATCGTACATAGTGCTGCTATCCGGTAACATAAAACTCTCATAAATGTATACAACGTACCGGTACATTAAGTTGGCATTTAACGTCACGTGAAAATGTTTGAGCACAACCTGTTTATCTTACAATTGATGTCGTTCCTTGTATTTATCTTTCTTAAAACGGATGAGTGTTTAAGGCTCAAACCGTTGCAGGCCGTATGGAAATAACATTGTTTAATGATGTTTAGTTGTAAAATAGCTTGCAGCGGGTAAATTTCTAACATAATCATTTATATATACATATATTTAAGTATTTTTTTTAGTTTAAGACATATCCATAACCGTTGAATGTCGAACAAAGAAAATTAAAATTAAAAGCACTCATTATATGCGCTGTCACCTTCAGGTGAAGAACTCGCCCCGGTGCGACGGCACTAGCTTATTCAATATGTCACGCGTGGCAGAAGTGCTATTATCTTCTGGTTTAATTCAAACATTAGCTTCAGCGTACGCTGGCTTGTGTTTGTGTTTAAGTTTAAGAAATATATTTGAAGGTACTTCATTCTCGCTCTCCTGACAGACATTTGTTTATAAGAAATTGATTTGGAATATGAGTGAACACTTCAAAATGGCCTCCGTGTATTGGATGGTAGCGTTATCAAATATTACTTTTATTCTCCGAATGAATTTAACATACCGTTATTGTCTTCCAATTCAATCACATAAAGATTTTATTTTAGTGGGCAGACTTTTAAATGTTCGAGTAAATAATGCATTTTGAACAATTTCGCGCATAGCTCAACCATGGTTGACTATTGTAAAAATGGCTTTTTTTTCTTTTTTGGATCTCAGACCGCAAACCTTAAGTTTTCAAAAGCTACGCCCACATATAACGTAAGTACGCCCCACGTAACAATGTAGCAATGACATCCGTCGAAGTGATAATCATTGATGTCTGGGTTTCGATGTCAGTGATGCCTAATAAGTGCACTAACTTTTTTTCTTTTTTGTGTGCTAATATTCCTACTCGGCCATAATTTCAATGAAGTGAGAAAAGACTTAGCATAGTATTTATGGCTTCAGCATGCTATTTATTTCAATTCTTGGTGTATATCGTCCACAGTAACCATAGCCATCATTCATGTATTGGAATAGTGGTGTTGGACTTTTTTGAAGTTCATTGAACTTGACCCCCCCAGACTGCCATTCCTACTTGGAGCGTAGAACTTATAAAACTGATTGTTAGGAAGTAGACTTTTTTTCAAAAAGTTTTCGACAATTTAATTTATTTTGTTTATTTATCAACTTTAAAAGATTGAGCAGAACTTTGATAATTTTTTAATTAAGATTTCTAAAAAAAAAAAAAGTTTGATAACACTTGTGGCTATATTTTACCTTTTGATTGATCAAGACGCATCAATGCAATATTTACTGGAACATGAATGTAAATAAGTCGAAGAGATCATCGCCTACAAAGCCTGGTTTTATAATGCATTTGACAAAATGTTTTAGTCGGATCAAGTTATATCCTAAGTCTGTAACAAACAATAATCATGTGCATTATTATGTCTGTAACAAACAATAATCACGGTCATTACTATGTCTGTAACAAACAATAATCACGGTCATTACTATTTCTGTAACAAACAACAATCATGGGCATTACTATTTATGTAACAAACAACAATCATGGGCATTACTATTTCTGTAACAAACAATAATCACGGTCATTACTATGTCTGTAACAAACAATAATCACGGTCATTACTATGTCTGTAACAAACAATAATCACGGCAATTACTATGTCTGTAACAAACATAATCATGGCCATTACTTTGTCTGTGAGAAACAATAATCATGGCCATTACTATGTCTGTAAAAATAATCACGGCCATTACTTTGTCTGTAACAGACAATAATTAGGGTCATTACTATGTCTGTAACAAACAAGCATCATGGCCATTGCTATACACACATATATATATATATATATATATATATATATATNTATATATATGTATATAAAAGCCAAATACCACCCACTCACGAACCAACTCATTGCTCGAAATTGAGATCTCAAGAACAACAAGCACAATGATATTGAAATTTTGCATGGTGATCTCTCTCAGTGTCTAAGGCCTAAAGGTCAACATGAACCAGAGTCCCAAACATTTATAATATCAATGGTTTGTTTTGTGAGTGTATTGTTGGTCATTGTTTGGATGTCACGTTTTATGTGTGTTGATGTCACGTTTTATGTGTGTTGATGACACGTTTTATGTGTGTCGATGTCACGTTTTATGTGTGTCGATGTCACGTTTAATGCGTTTTAATGTCACGTTTTATGTGTGTTGATGTAACGTTTCATGTGTTTTGATGTCACGTTTTATGTTTGTCGATGTCACGTTTATGTGTGTCGATGTCACGTTTATGTGTGTCAATGTCACGTTTAATGCGTTTGGATGTCACGTTTTATGTTTGTTGACGTCACTTTTATGTGTGTCGATGTCATGTTTAATGTGTTTTGATGTCACGTTTTATGTGTTTAGATGTCACGTTTAATGCGTTTGGATGTCATGTTTTATGTGTTTCGATGTCACGTTTAATGCGTTTGGATGTCACGTTTTATGTGTGTCGATGTCACGTTTAATGAGTATGGATGTCACGTTTCATGTGTTTTAATGTCACATTTTATGTTTGTTGATGTCACGATTCATGTGTATTGAAGTCACTTCTCATGTGTTTTGATGTCACCTTCCATGTGTATTGATGTCAGTTCTCATGTGTTTGGATGTCAAGTTTCATGTGTTTTGATGTCACGTTTTATGTGTTTAGATGTCACGTTTGATGTATTTGAATATGACGTTTCATGTGTGTTGATGTCAAGTTTTATGTGTGTTGATGTCACGTTTTATGTGTGTCGATGTCACGTTTAATGCCTTTGGATGTCACGTTTTATGTGTGTCGATGTCACGTTTAATGCGTTTGGATGTAACGTTTTATGTGTGTAGATGTCACGTTTAATGCGTTTGGATGTCACGTTTCATGTGTTTTAATGTCACGTTTTATGTTTGTTGATTCACGTTTCATGTGTATTGAAGTCACTTCTCATGTGTTTTGATGTCACTTCCATGTGTATTAATGTCACTTCTCATGTGTTTGATGTCACGTTACATGTGTTTGGATGTCACGTTTCATGTGTTTTGATGTCACGTTTCATGTGTTTTGGTTTCACGTTTTATGTGTTTAGTTGTCACGTTTCATGTGTTTTAATGTCACGTTTCATGTGTTTTGATGTCACGTTTTATGTGTGTTGATGTCACGCTTCATGTGTATTGAAGTCACTTCTCATGTGTTTGAGGTCCCGTTACATGTGTATTGATGTCACTTCTCATGTGTTTTTATATCACGTTCCATGTGTTTTGATGTCACGTTTCAGGTGTTTTTATGTCACGTTTCATGTGTTTGATGTCACATTTCATGTGTATTGATGTCACTTCTCATATGTTTTTATGTCACCTTCCATGTGTTTTGATGTCACGCTCCATGTGTTTTAATGTCACGTTTCATGTGTTTTGATGTCACATTTGATGTGTATTGATGTCACGTTTCATGTGTTTTGATGTCACGTTTCATGTGTTTAGCTGTCACGTTTCATGTGTTTTGATGTCACGTTTCATGTCTTTTTGCACTACATTTGACCATATGCTTATTTATTTATTTTTTTGTTTTGTTTTTGCGAATCATGCGCTCACAACAAGATTATTAATACTGAAGCTCTAAAATCTGGAATATCACCACATCTGGTAAACCAGAGGTTCTTAACCTTCCTAATGCCGCGACCTTCTAATACAGTTCCTATTGCTGTGTTGACCCCGAAGTATAAAATTATTTTTTTTTACTACTTCATGAATATGTGTTTTCCCATTGTCTTAGGTTACCCCTGTGTAAGGGTTATTCGACCACCAAAGGAGTCGCGACCCACAGGTTGAGAACAGCTGATGTAAACACTTCTATCTTTTAATAACGCTAGATTATTGTATGGTGTTAAAAAAAGCCTATCTCTTGGCCATTTTTTTTACTTTAAGAAAGAAAAGATTTTAGCCACCACCAGCACTTGTCTCCCCTTTCCTAGAGCAAGTCAAACATTCAAAGCTGCATTCTTTCCCTTTAAATGAGATAATGAACATTCCGAAACTACAGAGTTGTCCCCAGAATATGGCGCAAACAGACACGTTAAGTTTGGCTCTGCAGGCGAGGTCC